CGCAATCACTGGTTCACGGTCACGCTCCTGCTTCCTGATCCAGCCTCAATCTGTTCCTTCTCCCGCTCGGCGTGACAGTATAATCAGCCTTGCCAGGCTCCCGACAGCAAGTTTCAGCTCCAACAATTAAGCACTACGGTCTAATAACGTTACCGCATCGCTTAAAACGTTGGCCATAAATCGGCCGTAATCTGCAGTTATGCTCCGCTCGTTAGTGTGCCTAATTAAATGAGTGTAATAAATATGCTTTTCAATAAAGAGCCGTTTCCAGTTTGGTTCGATAATCCTGTGGTGGGGGCTGGGGAATCCGGCGAGTGGGGAGGCGGGGCCAGGAATCCCCTCAACAAAAATCCCATCTCTGCTCGAAGGTCAGCTTTTCAGTGATGTCCACATCGAAATAAAATCAAAATATCGAAATATTCTTTGACATCAACAGCAGCAAAAGGACAAGCAACATGGAGAAGCAACGTCTAACAGGTGGTAACACTCACCCTTCACTGTCCTGAACCTTCACTGTCCTTAACCTTCACTGTCCTGAACCTTCACTGTCCTTAACCTTCTCTGTCCTGAACCTTCACTGTCCTGAACCTTCTCTGTCCTGAACCTTCACTGTCCTGAACCTTCACTGTCCTTAACCTTCTCTGTCCTGAACCTTCACTGTCCTTAACCTTCTCTGTCCTGAACCTTCACTGTCCTGAACCTTCACTGTCCTTAACCTTCACTGTCCTGAACCTTTACTATCGCTTATGTCTTACAGCCTTCCATCCCAGCAATCCCTCCCCCCAGGTCCACCCTGGTCCACACCTTGTCTGGGTGGGGGTCCCATCACCATCCTGACACACCCCCCTCCCCATGGGTTGAGGGATCAGGGACATATCAACAGAGATCTGCAGCAGTAGCTCGCCACTTTCCTGCTCTACCTATGTGTGTGTCTTTAAGGAGTTATCGAAGCACTTTATATATCTACATGGAAGACTGAAGTGTCAGAGTTCTGGGATGTTCTGGAAAGTTCTGGAAGGTGTGAAGAGTGTGGTGGGGTGACCAAATTTCCCATGATCCTCCTGTCATGTGCAACAAGGGGGGGGAGCCTCTCTCACGTACACCTCAGATGTCAGGATGCAGGGAGTTTGTGGGGGGTGGGGCAATCAGCCAGCCTTTATCACGCCTGAGTTTCATTATGGAGCTGGGATCCATGCTGACGGGGGGGGGTCAGGGGAGTGGTGTGGTGTGTGGGTCAGGTAGGGACTGTATCTGAGCCGGGGGGGGGGGCATCTGTGGCAGCGTGTGTGGCCCGGGAGCCAGGAGACAGGAAGGGGAGTGGGGAGGTGAGGGGCCCTGGAAGGGGACAGCACCGGGGGGGGGCATTGTTAAAGAGAGAATGAGCCCCCCCATATAGCTGGCTGGGGATGCACATTCAGCACTTTGCCAAATCAATGCCACTTGAAGAGTACAATGGTGGCCCTTGGCTAGAGGGGACCTGGCACATTACAGGGGCTAATGTATCCATTTAGGGCTGTGGGGGCCACGCGCTGCTATTATCCGTCTGAGTCAGCCACTTGGGTTCGGGGGGGGGAGGGGTGGCACTGAGGGATAGCATTAAGCAAGTGGGTCTGTATAGCGCACATGCATGGACTCGTCGTCCTGCAGCCATCCCCCATGGTGACAGGGCGTGCCAAGGATACGGTGTCACAGCCACAGGGCGGGGGGGCAAGACACAGGGCCCTGCATGGGCGGACACGCTTTGCCCTCACGCCGATTACGTCGCTTTTTCCTAGACATAAACAATCTATTCTTATCACGCTGGCACAGTTAACCCCCCTGCCCCCCCCCATCTCCACCCTACATGAGTGAGGGGGGGGGGGCACGCTTGTCTGTGACATCGAACACGCGACGCAATTCAGACAATCGCAGGACCACCTGCATTATTACACCGCAAGTTGTGGTGGTTTGGGGGGGGGGGGGGCTTCATGCAGAAAAAGACAGAGGAAAAGCTAAATTAACACTTGACATCCAATATGGCCCCCGTTCCCTAATTGACTGGCACTTCCTGAGAAGGCAGTTTGCTATTCCCCTGCGCCGGCCTGCACCGTCCGTGCCTTAATGAGGGCCACTGAATTAATTTGGTGGGGGGGGGGGCTCCCTTCCTCCATGATGCACCCCCTCCCCCCCACCCGACCCTCCTTTTCCCCTGAGCTCTTGACTAAACTGACATCCGCCCATACGAGGGACAATTCTGAAATGGGACGGATCCCTGCAGCTCTTTCCAAGGTGACCACACAGTCGGGACGCTTTTGACCTATCGGTGAGGATCTCCCAGCAGCAGGGATCGCGCCCCCTTCCATCACCAGCCACTGTGTGGTTCCTCATCTGAAAAATTCAAGACCAATTTTTACATCTTTTCCCAAAACCTAACACACTGCTTTGTGCTATAAACATTGCAAAAATGCAATTTTTTTTATATCACAAAAATGCAAATTTGCTGTTTTAAAAAATCCTCAGTCTCTTACTAGTGATAAACTCACTCCAGAAACCCCAGAACGATCCTAGAAGTGTCACGTAGATAACGGATCTCGCAGTGTTTTAGGGAATCTGTCGATACATCTCATGTTTTATTCCATCAAGTCAATATAGCCTCAAATACGGTCAATCCACGTTTGTTTAACGCTTATATAAACCGGGAAAAGGACAGACATTCGATCAAAGGGTTCACTGTAACGTCATTTGACTTGATTTCAACTTACTGTGGGGCTCCAGGTAGATGAGAAATTCTGGGTTCTAAGTCAGCAGGGAAAAGACCATGAAATCTCGTCATGGGTGGAACCCGCTTCTTGCTCGTGGGCTCCCCTTAATGCTAGCTGAAATGATATGTACCCCTGCTGCACTTCAGTATTTAAAACATCTGCTCAAATTGTTCTAGGTAATTTTAGGAAATTCACCGACATCCTTTAAACGAGCACCACCCACAGTCAACTGATTAACGACACCCCCTCCCCCCTACCACCACCAGTGGAGGACCCCTTCCGACCCCTGAGCATCATGGGAAAATTTACCAGAAGCTTGTAACGTTGGCCAATGAGGTCATCGGGGACAACCCGGTCGCTCGGCGACAGCCAATGAGCAGCTGTGTGTTTCTGACCTGGACCCGCCTCATTTACACTCAAAACAAAACAGAAAAAGACGAGCGAATCCCGCACACGCTCGCTCCCGTGTATCACATTACCATAAACCGCCTGAACTTCAGTCTGCTCCCTCCATCAGAAGGGAAATTCAACGTATTAATTTGGCTGAAAGGATAGAGCTTCTGAACCTCGTGCGCTCATTCGAGGAACCTTTTAATCGCTTGTTTATGTCATTTATTCCACTTAAACCCCACCTTTCGCCTTCAGACTCCCACTCCTGCTTCCAGATACGAGCTGGAGAAGATGGTGGTGCGGTGAAGGTCCACCTTGCAGCCGTGTAGGAAGGGACACCTTCTTGATCCAAAGACCGCAGGTGGTGTGCCGGTTCATTCTGGACCCCTGGTCTTACCTACCCCCAGTGAAACCTCTGCTGACCTTTTTGAGAGCCCCCACCCCCCCACCCCCAAAAATGACACAGAGGTCAGAAGGAGGACAAGAGACACAAATCTGACTGCAGAAACACCAGGGAAGAATCCGGAAATGGGATCTTCTCAAACTGAACTGTGACTCTGATTCTCGCCTCCACACACAGAGTCTCTCTGCAGCAGCCTTACTGTACAGATGTTTTCATACTGGGGGCGGGATTCCATTCCATACTGCCCCCCCCCCCCCCCCCCGTGTCGCTGACAGTGTCCCTGCAGCAGGCGTTCCCCGGCAACCAGTGGAGACCGCAAGCCCTCCCCCCAACAGCAGTGCTCACTAAACAGAGTCCTAACCATGTGACACCCCCTCCCTCCCCCCCTGCCCCCCCTGCCCTGAGCCGTCGGTGTTTATCTTCCTTCTTAATGATGGAGCTTCGCCGTCCCTTCAGGATAACAGAGAGTCCCTCACAACGGCTAATACGTGTTATTACACCCCCTCTAATTCCGGGGGGGGGGGGGGGGGATGTACAAGGCCTCAATTTGACAGTAAGAGCCTTCAAGAGTCGCGTTAGCGCTGCAGCAGCCGAGTGTGGCGTCAGGGTGACTTCCCAGAGTGCTGCGGCCGCCCCCCATGCGCCCCCCCACCTTGATCACAGTGCTCGCGTTCCTGCCAGCCGAGTCTCCCGTTAGTATCACCTTCCCAATCTGACACGCTCGTCACTCATTATCCCCCCCCCGGCCCCCCCTCCGCTCCATGGCCCCCTGTGCCGCACCCGCCCTCTGGCTCCCGGGTGGTCTGTTTTTCGTACCTGAACAGCACCAGGCCCTGGTTTACACACCAGACTGTACAGAGGACACAGTTTCCGGGACGACAGAAGGAACACGAGTGCGATGCACCCCACCTCCAATGCTGGGACGGCCACCAATGAGAGATGCCTGGCGCAGACTTATCCCAGATAGTCGTCATTGTCCGAGGATGTGTTCTACGGTAACCGTGGGAACAGCGGCAGCACGCACAACAGGAAGACGAGGCTCAGGGGGAGAATGAACGGTCCTGGCAGGAGAGCAAGCAGGCCAAAGTGGTGCTGATTTAGCCAAGGGAATGGACTGGCCCTGTCAGGCTGCTTTAAGTACAGATCCATTGAGCCTGTGGTGCTGGAGCCTGTTCAAGCTAAACAGAACCTGAAACAGCTTTCGCTCTGGGGCGCCCCCTACAGGGAGGGCACAGTACTGCAACGTGCGTATGTGGGTCAGGTTGTGTGCACACGTGTCGCAGCGGGGGCTCGTCATGCATGTCACGCATTCGGGAACCCTAAACGGGAGTGGGCCGAGGCTAATGTCCCCTCATTACAGCCCCGTCAGGGGTGGTGACATCCTGACTTGCAGCAGCTTCCGTTTTCTCCGAGGCTTCCCCTCGGACAAGGAAAGAAAAACAAACCCCCCCTCAAAGGAAACTCACCCTTTTCATGGGCTCCAGCCAGGTCGCCTGCATTCGCTGTGTGTGAAAATTGAGCCCGGGGGTGTTGCTCTGCAGTTGCCGCCTGGGGGGGGGCATGGACACACGAGGCAGGGGGAATGCCGAGGGGCTGAGGAGGCCGGAGTCTGCCACGGAAACGGAGCCCACCATGACCCGCTCCTTTGTGCTCTGGGACCTCTGGCCCAGTGCAGGCTGGCGGAAGGGGTACCGGGGGGCTTTACATGCTGCGAGCTGGGCGAGAGCCACGCCCATCTATAATGTTCCAGCACGGCGCTCCACATGTTGATAGGACACAAGACATGCAATGGGAGGCATCTGTCCTTGGCTGGCGGGCTGCATGGTCGCGGATCTGTCATGTGATCTGCACCCAATCACAGATCAGCACCAAAGCAAATCAAAGTAAGCAGTTGTTCAGTGTACGATATGGCCCCTGGGGGGGGGGGGGTTAAAGGCAGGGGTAATTGTGCAGGCATTACTCTGGAACCTGACTTCCTGCAAACACAAACACCCAACAGAGAATGACACTGCCGCCCCCC